CAGATTATCTAGAAGACAAGAAAGATTTTTCTATATTGGAAGCTAGAATTCATTGTTTTTCCCCCACATCGAACTGTAATCCTATTAACTGCATGGGGCATTAGGATGTGAGTGTATTGCATAATTGGTAATGCATTCAACCGTCATTGACTGGCATTATTATTTTGCCTACATCATGGCATTTTAGTAGATCTTGTTAGCTCACCAATCTTTCTCTTTGACAGTTCGGAGCTATTTTAGCGCCATTACCAGCCTTCGTAAGGGTAGAAATACTAAATATCAGGTATGACAATTCGAATACATAGAAGTTTTCAACAGCTCATGATTGAAATGGTAGAAAAGAAATTGGTACGGCCAAGAGAAAACGAGATTCAAATAGTTTAAAATTGTTTAAAACTAATAATCCATTATTTATTTGCGGTACAGCCAAGGAAGTGTAGTAATTACTATGAAAACTACRTTCAATGCATCAACCAACGTCACAACGACAAAGATTAAAGAAACAATTATTGCTAACAACGCCAGCAAGAACACGCAGAATTTTATCTTCAGTCAAGCACTGTCTGTCAAAGGTYGATTATTAATATTAACATTGTTATAAAGTTTAAAAAGATGTTTGTAGTTTGGATTTAACTTCATAGTGTACTTTGCTGTATAAACCTTGGTGTTGAATAAAAAAACGAGCTTTAAAGCTTTTCTTGAATAAAACAATTGACCAACTGAAACTTGTTTTTCCTTTTTTTTCTGACACAAATTTTTACCAGGTGAATGTACASCCAGTTTCTGCGTTAATGGAGGCACTTGCAAGACGAACGTCACTATCGGAGCTTTCTGCACGTGAGTGTACTTACGATTGAAATCCGAAGTCGTTAATATTGATAATCYTGTGATGTTTACTTATTAGGTGTCGGTCTGGTTTCAACGGTGTAAGATGTGACAAAGGTACAAACTTTTCAAWTAGACATATTAGACATTTTGGCGATATTACTATTCATAATGACAAGCATGGCAATAATAATAACAATGAGATGATGACAACAATATTTAGAAAATGACACCCAAAATGTCTTTCACTTGATTTCTAAATACTATATTAAGTTTTCTTTAATAAACTTGATTTTTCCTCATGTACGTGTAGTTGTTGTAAATGGAAGCTACAGTAGTTGGTCGCCYTTCAGTGAATGTAGTAAGTCATGCAAAGGAGGCAAAATGCATCGGAAGCGCACTTGTACCAATCCTCCTCCACAAAATGGCGGTCGAGATTGCAGTGGACTGGGTCCCGATTACGAAGAGAAAGATTGTAATTCTGARGTTCTATGTCCAGGTATGTCCAGCAAAAGGTGCAATGAAATCATTAAGTGAAATTACTCCTTAAATAATGACTCACTTTGTTGCAGTAATCTGGATCATCATTGGAGTTTGCTGTGCAGTGTTCCTCATCCTTCTAATCTTGCTGATTATATGCTGCTTGAAACGGAAAAAGAAAGAAAAAGAACAAAGGTAACCGTTTAAAAAACACAAGATAATACAATGTACAAAAGAAAACTGAAAGAGAAGACAAAAAA